TTCTCTCTCTTTCTCTCTCTTAACTGCCAGGGTGTCTCAGTAAGGTTCACCCTGGCCACCCTGTTTAATAGCACAGACCCCCTACCCTCTGGGGCTTTCCCTACCCCCTCACCTGGCTCTACTTTCTCTTGTTTCAACAGCACTTATCATATCCTAACATTTATTATGTCTACAGTTAACATCTGTCTTCCTTTCTAGAAAATCAGCTTTATGAAGGCAAATATTTTCTGGGGGTGGGTTGGGATGGGTGGAGGAGACATACACTGATGTACCTACAATGGAGTTGGTGACAATGAATATCTGTTTACTCAATGAATGAACTTTAAGCATTCAATGGTCTAATTTTTACTCCAAAGCTTTTGGGTAGAGACTAAAAAGAAAAATAAGGAAAGCTTTGTGTGTGGCTTGTCCCTTCTGGGGGCACTGCTATGCAGACAACGTGACGTGAGCATTCAAGCCAAGGTGGGAGCAGAGGGTCAGCCTTGCATCCCCGTGGGGGTGACACTGGCCACCTGCCGTGGGCAGAATATGGTGATGAATGCAGCAGGGTATTGAAACAGGACCTAGACAAGGCCACGTCCTCGGCAGTCTACAGTCCAGAAGGGGTGCAGAAACACATCCGTGAATGAAGACTAGAAAACTGTGAGAGATGGAGGTGAAAGTCACACGATTCTGCAACAGAGAGGCCTGATGACTTCCAGGGGGATTCCCGTGGGATGCACTTGAAGATGGAGGGGACATTCTGCAGGAGGACACCTGAGCAAAGACGTGAAGCTGCCCCTGGGCGGCCCCTAGGAGGAGCTTTGTCTGAAGCAGAGAAGGTGTCAAGAGAAGGCGGAGACATCATCGTGGCGCAGATAAAGGGCCAGGATGACACACAGTTAACTAGCAAACGTGCATTTATAGTGAAAGAGGTTAAGCCGTGGGGAGCCTGTGCCTCCAGGTCTGGAGCCAGGATCGGGAGAGAGGGGAGGGGACCAGGGCTACTGTCTCCAAGGAGAACCGTCTTCAAGTGTGTCCACAGCTCTTCCCCTCCCCCGGAGGGATCCAGAGCCACACCCGGGGCCCCTGGGGACCCTAAATGCTCCTTCGATGTCTCACTTGGGCATGGGGAACCAGGGGCTGGAGAACCATGCTTTCTCCAGAACTCCACATTCTTTACACCTGGCCACACACACGCACTGCCTGGAAAGTTCTGAAAACCAACTAGTTCAAAGGCACTCTTTCTTTCTTCCAAAAAGTTCCTTTCTCTCCCCCAAAACTGTTACTTCAAGCAAAAGATACTTCGGGACCGAAATGGTGTCTTTCAAACAGTGCCTGACTCAGCCACTTTCCATTTCCTACTAGAATACCTATGAAAACACAGAAAAGGAGAAAAACACAGCGCAGGGAACTAGGACGGGCCGTCCACCCGCCGCCAGAATCTGGGAGACACGCCAACGGAGAAGCAGGATAATGCAAGCGGGTTGAGAAACAGCCCTCAGCCCTGCCAGCCGGGGCCCAGGGTCCAAAAGCCAGCAGCCGGGGCTGGTGGCGCAGGGCCGCCCCTTCCTGCTGCTGCCCTCCCGCGGGCTTCTCGTCGCCTAGGAAAACCGCTTGTCTATCCTCCTCTGGCACAGCCGCTATTTTTTGAGGAATGTAGATTGATGACTAACATAGAACTGATTGTCTGTGATGTAAACCTGTTGCAAAACCAAGGAGATCGTGACAGATGTCTCTCCTCCCCCCAGCCCGTGCAGGCTTCCTCTCTCTCCAACCTCAAGTCCACGTGGACCTGCGGTCAGCTCCGCAGCCCCACCATCAACGCCGACACTCAGCGCCCTAGTCCTCACCTGGGTCCCTAGAAAGGTTTCCCTCCTCCGGTTTGGCCCCATCCCAGTGAACTCTGCACTGAAACCAACAGGGTCTCCATAAATGCCAATGGGAACACCCCTCTCGAGTCTCCCCATAGCCATAGGCTAAAGCTGGAGTTCCCCTTGGTCATCTCCCCTCCCCCAGGCCACACCTGGACCACCTTGTCCTCCGAAATTCTCTCCTGCTAGAACCTCCCTGGATATCCCAGGCTTGAACTCAGCCGCTCAGTGCTGAGCCTCCGTCTTGTCTGTCTGCCTAGAATGTTCCCGCCCCCTCTCTCCGCCTGCACCTGACCCATCTCATCCCTGAAGGCACAGCTCAAGGAAAACCTCCCCAACAGCCAATGATGGGAGAACTTCCCGGCACAGCACGCGCTGAAGACCTCCGTCAGACCACTTCACAGGCACAGCTGGGCAACGATCCGTTTCTCTTGTCTCCTGCATGGCGGCCCCTGGAGGAAACTTCAGTCATTCGCTCAAAAGCGATTTATTCAGCCCCAGTACATACCAGGCACTCACTGGGCACACTCACCAGGCACACAGCGGTGAAGGCACAAGTTCTGGAATTTTGATGTTTATTAATCAACAATCCTATAAATCAGCCACATAATTTCCGAGAAGGGTGGGCATGCTGCGACTGTAGCTTCTTCTTCTCTATCCTCCAAGATCCAGCCTAGGCTTTGGCACAACGGACACGACCCATAAATTGCTTGAATGAACGTGAAATGGTAAGTATCGGTCTGATGATGGTAATGAAGTGCTCAGTACAGAAAAGTATGTGTAGAGAACATGGGACAAAGAACAGGAAAGGGGAAGAGCAGAACTTCATCAACTGATTCGCTGATGAAGAGAAAGGCAGTGGTGAGCACTTCCTTGAAGAGTTACAGGATGTCTTAGTCAGCTCAGGCTGCCGTAACAAAACACCATAGCCAGGGTGGCTCAAACGACAGGAATTGGATCCTTGCAGTTCTGTGGGCTGGAAATCCACGATCTGGGCGCCTGCATGGCTGGGTTCCGGTGGGAAACACTTCCTGGCTTGAAGAGAGCTGCTTCTGCCTCCCAGCGTCCTCCTGTGGTGGAGGCAGAGCTCTGGTGTCTCTTCCTCTTCTTATAAAGACCCCAATCCCATCATGGGGACCCCACCCTTGACCTAATCTAACTCTAATCACCCTCCAAAGGCCCCCGATTCCTACTACCAGCACACTGGGGGTGGGTAGGGTTTCAACATTAGCATTTGGGGAGATGCTAACATCCAGTCCATAACAGAGGCACGACCTCCCCTGCCATGAACTTCAAAGAGATGTGTGAAGGGATAGAGTCGTTGGTGGGGAGGGAGTCTGCAAGGCCAGGGTTTGTCCTGCCGACTTCTGTTTTCTTTGAAAGTCTAAGTCAAGGTCACCTGCTCAGCTGAGGGGAGGGACAGGTTGGGGAATTGCAGGGAAACCATTAAAGTGTAAAATGACCCTTGAAGAGCATGGGAAAGGCAGCTTTTTCCAGAGGCCAGAAGACGACCCTCCCCCAGCCCCGCAGCACCGACGTCCAGCTGTTTGGACATCACTCGACACAGTTACATGCTTTTCCGGGAAGGCCCGGGGGCAGAGCAGGAAACAGAGAGGTAGAGAGAGGGGCTCGCGGCTGAGAAGATGCTCATCACCTGGGCAGGGGAGTCAGGAGCGCAAGCAAACCACCTCAGGGCTGGCGGCTCTAGAAAGTGATCCAGGTCTGGTGTCTGGGTATGGAAGTGGGGGAAGTCAGCACCGAAAGAATGATGCCGTCTGAAAGTTTTGCTTTTTAAACCAAAGAAGAGTCATTAAACTATATAAAGTCAGGTGAAAATGTAACATGATTTGACCCCGTTCCCAGAATACTGATGCCCAACCCAGCAGCTTTCAGTTCTGATTTGTGTTTATTGTACGTCAGAAATATTTCCTAACGTTGTTTCATGGCCTAGCGAATCTGCCAGCCCTGGACTTTAATCTCCAAGAGGCAGGATAACGCGTCTGTGTAACAGGGCCCCTCCAGGACGAACCTGTAACTGCCCCCAATGCTGAGCCCTCGGGGTTCATGGGCCTCCCCTGGAACACCTGCAGGACTGGGCATCTCTAAGTCAGCCCGCTTGGAAAGGGGTGTGTGTGGTCAGATGGAGAACCAACAAATTTTTGAAAATGGGACACATGAGAAATGACCTTTCCTCACATTAAATTTCACTTAATCGAAGTAAATGTGGTATGGCTGTCTGTGGCCCAGAGGATAAAAAGCCTTGGGTACTGTCTCTGCCAGCCTGGGTGCCCACCCCCGCTTGGAAAGTCGAGCTGAGCGTGGGGCAGAGGATTTGCTCTGTTGTGAAAAGAACTGGGCTCATGGTCAAGTCCAAGTGTGTAATCTGAGCAGGAAGGGGTGGGTGTGTTTTGTGCGCACCAGCAGGTCGACTGGGGAAAAGGTGATGTTTACTGCAGGGCTCGGGAGACGTGAATTTTCGGCAGCTCCGGAGCTGAAATGACAGCAAATGAGGAGGGGCCCCAGCAAGCGGCCCCTCCGAGCCAGCCCTGCACAGATGGGCCGAAGGGAACAGTTAGGCAACCGGCTGAAAAAATGGAAGATTAAGATCAGGACACAGAGCCTGGGGCAAGAGGCGAAAAGGAAGGAAAGGGTCACAAAAATGGACCGGGAGAAGACACCGGTGCCAGCTGGACTGCCCGGTGCTGATTAAATAGACTGGGATCCGCTCAGGATGGATGCCCAGGGAGGGAGGCCATGGGGATAGACACAGACCCAGCGGCTCTGATACAGGGGTCCTCGAGCTCCAGCGTTCGTCTGTTTCTGCTCCTGAAAAGTTGCCACTTGCTGACTGATCGCAACCAGCTCATTACAAATCTCTTGGAGCAAATGGAGCCTTTCAAGGCCAAATATAAAAGACGTTGGCCCAAAGGTTCTGGGGCAAATCTGGACTTTTGCCTTGAAAGGGTAATGTAGCGGTTGACATTTTCAACTCTAACAGAATGGCTGACATAACCGAAGTGTCGAACAGCTATTTGGGGCAATTTTGGGAAAGAACTCATCTTTATCACCCAGGAAAAAAGAAAGATGAACAATATCAGTAAAATGGACCCTTCCTTATTTTCAATAACACATTTCTGGGCATAAATTGTCTTGGAAAAAAATGCCTCAATTCGTGTTTTTGACTATCCAGTAGAGTCATTTATTTAAACAGGGGTTCTTAAAATTATTTAGGGAGTGAACCACCAGAAAGTTACAGAGCCTAAGCAAAGATTGATGTTCAACTCTATTTTCAAAACTAGGATTTTTCCTTCTTAGTGCTTAGAAGAATGTCAATATCGAAAGTACGCAACACACATTCACAACTACGAAGACAGCTCTCTATGAAAACCCAGCTGTCAAACGACATCCCTGAGCCATTTCCAAGGGATTCTGCTCAGGGTTTGTACTTGTTCCCTCCTTTCTGTATCAGTTTAAGTGTTTTCTGGCAGAGAAGCCATAGAATGTGCAAAAGATTTAAGAAAAAGTAGCTGCGGGAACTTTTTAAATTGAGCAGTTTCTATCCATTTTCTCAACATTGTGTGTGCCGTGAGAAAAGGCCTTTGTTTTATTTTAACAGTAGAAACCTTGGTTCAACCCGTAGAACACATGCTTTCCACAAGAATACCGATGGAGAACCGTTGTCCTGAGATGTCTTTGACTTCCGACGTTCTGTCTTAGAATATATTAGAAAGTGGTTTCTAGAAGTGGTGTTTTCTTCCTACAGGATTGAAGTTCTCTTCTTTTTCACTTGGCTCTGACCTCATCGTCTGTTTTGATCTTATTGCCTGTACATTTTGTGAGACATTCTACATCCCTGTTGAAAAGAGGTGAAAACTATTTAGATAAGACGCGAGAACAAAATTCAACGACCACGCCCCCCCCCCCCCCCCCCCCCCCCCCCCGCAAAAGCAAACTTTGGAATCAGAGGATTTAGAGTTTTCAGAGTTCTGTTTCCTCATTTTTGTCTTTCGTTTATTCAACAAGTAATTAATGAGCATTTATTCTACCTACGCCAGACACTATTTGAGGGCTGGGAATATAGCAGCAGATAAAACACAAGTTCCGGCTCCATGGAACTGACATTCTGGAAGGGGTAAACAGGAGACAGACAATTAAATCACCTTTAGTAATACAACATGACAGGTGGTAGTGAGGGCTATGATTAAAAACAAGCAGGGCACAGGGGATGAGAAGGAGGTTTTACCTAGGGTGCTCAGCGAAAGTCCCTCAGATAAGGTGACATTTAAACAGGAAAGTGAAAGAAAATTTCAGGGCAAGGCCTGAAAGGTTCTCTGGGGTGAGAGCATTCCAGGAAGCGGGCTGGCAGGTGGCTGGCTCTGGGCGGGATTTACTCTTTAACCCTCCTAGAACCGATGCGTCCATAAAGCCTTTGTAGGTTTATACATCGAAAGAGCCTCCAAATGAGTTCTTTGATGGGATAAGTGTAAAGTCGAAGTCTTTAACATTGAATTTTTCTGTCTTCAGGCTCCCCGTCTTACCTCCACCGGGCACCCCTGTATCCTCAACGTCAGGCACAAGTTCTCAAAGCGCTCTTTCAATGGTTTCCACTCATGTACTTTCATTGCACGGGGGGCAGAGAAGACTGAGCTCTGCAGCAAATTCACTGAGACGGCCGAGCATGTCTGCTTGCAGACGTTTCCTGATTCCCGCCAAGGTCATCTTGATATTTTCCTGAAAATCGTCAGAGAGCTTCCTCAGTGGACCCAGATTTCTTTGACATCGACAGGAAAACCACTGAGGGAGCAGGGCAGGGTCCCGGCTCCACCTGGACTTGGTGTGGGAACAGCAGCCATTCTCAGAGCCCGGGCCACAGGGTCCTCCGCAAAGGCCTGGGCTCCACGGTGCCGGGTCAGAACCCCGTGCAACTTGCAGTAAAACCAGCCACGGAGAAACCCAAATGCTGAGGCGGGGCGTTTCCGCAAAGACTCACCTGTGCTGTCGGCATGATGGTCACACCTGCTCACTTCAGAACACCTTGCCCCGCCTGTATTTCATCCCTCGCTGCAGATGGCAGAGGGAAGTCCCACCCTGTCCCATGACAAGCCACAGTCTGCCTGTGAACAGGGCGGTGGGAACAGGGGCTGGCAAGCTAGTTGTGTAACAAAATGACACAGAGAGTAGGACAAAAACCCCTGCATGGAAATGGATAACTTTATCCACCCATCCAATCAGAAAGAGCCCAGTGGCCACTACTACAAAGTTACCTTTTCACAGAAATGCAGAAAATACAACCACAACCTTCATGGGATTGAGGTCATATAACCTTTACATTCAAGTGGCTGGTGCGGTCTGTCAGGGCCTTCCTTTCCCACCTGACCACAGAGCCCTGCGTTCTAGGTCATGGCCAGGTCCCGGCGGCCCCAAACAGCAGGTGCTACCAGGGAAGAGCTGTCCCTGTGTTAACAAATGTATCATCTCTGTCACAAAACCAAAAATAGGGCTGAAACAGAAAAGACATTTGTTTGAAATCCACATGCATGTGAATTTCACACCCAACAGGCCTTTCACCCTCAGAGAGAAACCCCTTGGGCAGAAATGTCAGGCCTTTAACTTTGCTGCTTTACCAAAAAAAAAAAAAAAAAGAAAAGGAAAGAAAAGAAAAAGAAAGGACCATTTAAAATATTTCAACCTATATGGGAAAAGAACCTAAAAAAGAGTGGATATATGTATATGTATAACCGATTCAATGTGCTGTACACCTGAAACTAACACAACATTGTAAGTCAACTCTACTGCAATAAAAATTTAAAAATAAAATAAACTATTTCAGAAGGGCTAGTAATTAGTAGGATGGGCTTCTATAGAATCTAATAGGTTAATTTTTTAAAAACTAACCCAAGCAAACATGGTAAATGCTAGCAATGCTGGGTGGTGAGGACACAGCGTTCCTTGTATTAGTCTAGCTTTTCATACAGATATATTTTAACAAGAAAAAAATACATATTTAATAATGAATATATAATAAAAGGTCATCACTATTTAATAATAAAATATATTAATGAAAATGCTGCTGGATGCTTTGAGCTTCACTAATATATAGGGTGGAATACATCTGTGTAGCATTTATGTGTAATATTTGCTATTAATGTGTAGACTCCTCCCTCCTCTCCACAGAGGTTCTAGAAAAGCAGACCCCATACCACTTCACAGCCAGTATCTATTTGTCCTTAGGTGATGATGTTATAAGAGAATGCCACTAAAGCTTCCATGATGCTATAGCATCCCGCCGCCATGCTGGGGACCAGATATTTCTTCCCCTGGGCTGAGATTCGCCTGCTGTGTGGACACCTAACAGCCGGCCGCCACCAGCGGGCTGTGGTCCCCAGACCCAGCAGCCAGGGGCAGCTCTCTGTGGCCTGGCACCAGCCAGCAAGCATCCCAGTCCAACTGCAGACGCCCGCTCTGGGCTGAGACACAGAGGCAGGAGACCGGTGGCCCCAGGCTGCAGCGTTTCCTGTTTCCGTTAGTTCTCACTTGAGCTGCCCCCAGAGAGAGCCTCCCAAGGAGAACGCATCAGACTGCATCGTGTTTCTCCACCTCGATTCTTCTCTGCCGTCAGCACTGACCGCCTGGACCACTGGCCAGACCATCCTCCGCCTCTCCTCGCAGCCCTGCCAGTGCGATGTCGTCTCTGATGCTTGAGGAGTCTCGGTCCGCATCCCGCGCAGAGGAAGCCACCGCCTGCACTGGGCACAGTTCACCCCTACCTGAGGAAGGACAGGGGACACTCTGCTACGGAGGGAAGACTTAGGGGGTCGGGGGGTCGGCCGGGCCGCCTGGGCACGGCCCACCCTCTTTCCTGCCAGTCCTCTGCACCCACAGTGACCCGTCTGCCTCGGCCAGGGGTCAGGGACAGAGGGAAGTTGAGACCAAACCCCACCATCCTAAGAGGGCAAGGAAGGACGAGCTGGAAGTTGCTGGTTTTCACCTGTCCTGAAGTCACTCTCACCTGGACAGGACTTCAGGGTACCTGCCAACCACAGCCAGGGCAACTTAGCGGGACGCACTCGGACCTCGAGTTTGTCCCTTCAAAGGAGAGCTCGGCGTGAGCCAGCGATCATGAAACATCTGTCCACACACTGTACGCTCCTGCACCGGTATTCTGCTTGGAGGAGAGGCGTTTCTTAAAGATGGGCCAGCTGGTTGGAATTTAACACACACATATATATATAAAACACTCTCAGTATCTATTCCTAAATTCTAGTTGGGGCTTTTTGAAAACTTAAGAAGCCCTTGGGAGGCCATCTAAATGCAAAATCTTTCTAGATCTAAATGCAAAGTCTTTCTAGATCTGGTTGCCTCCTTATTTTCCACAATTGCCACACCTACACGTACTTAGAAAAAAATGTTAGTGACTCACCCATGTTCTCTCCAAAGCGTTAACTTCCTGGAAACAACTTTCTTCTCCTGTGACAGCTCTTTGTGATGAAGTATGGCCATCTAATGTACCTGTATGCTCACGCGTGTGACGAAAAGTCACAAGATGCTGTATATACTATAAGTCACACACGCTGTTATTCTCCATGCTAGTCTCATGGAGTCGAAACAGATCTATTTTTTAAATGCAGGTCATGACCCACTGACGTGGTTTAATGACCTGCAAATAGGACCCGAGCCTTGAAAAACACTGGTTTGCAGCTCTGAGTTGACCTCGGGTGAGGTATGGGGAGCCTTCTCCCGTCCCTTCCTCCCTGCACTCTTTCCCACCTCCCTGTGATGTCCAGTATCTCAGAGGATGGAAGTATCAAGGATATTGACATAAATCCTGAAGTCTGAGTAATAGTTCGTTTTGCAAAGATATAAATGCTCACAAATTTTCCATCAAGACAGAAAATTAATACACAGAAAACTTCAGTGCCTCTTCCTCCGTGCTGTCAGCGCTTACTCTGTTCTCCCAATTATTTTTTTCCTCTAAGTCAGAGGAAAACACGACATGTCTCGCTGCTTTGAGATGCACCCTTTCCACCCTGTCTTAGTTTAATTTGTTTATTGGTTTAATGTCATGACACAGGAAAGTAATTTCAGGCACCTGGGATTATGGTCTATTTTGTGGTCTCCTATTTAATTTTTAAAGTATATGTAAAATTCACAACCTGCTTCCTACTGTATTTACGTTAATATTAAAACTGCTTATTGCCAAGTAAAATTCATAGTCCAGGAAGAAAAGCGGTGTTTACTCCAGAGCTTCAAGGACCCCAGAACAATAGGCCACCATTTCTCTTCACGGTGTTCTGGTTCTGTTTGAAAAGTACGGCCTTAAGGCAAAAGAAACTACCAGGAATTTCGAGCACCATCATAAGCCAGCTGAAGAGGTTAGGGTCAGTGGCTCCCAAGGGCCACGACAAGAAAACCAGATGAAAATGACCTGCTTTCATTATTACCGTAAGCTAATCAATGTGAACACAGTGATAAAATCCTCCTCCACACACATAAAAGCATGTGTCGATCTAAGATCTAATAACTGCTATCAGTCACTGTTGAGCTGTGTGTGTGTGTGTGTGTGTGTGTGTGTGTGTGTGTGTGTGTGTGTTGAACTGTGTCCCCCCAAGACTTATGTTCACATCTTGACCCCTGGTACCTATGAAAGAGTCTTTATTCTGAAGGAGCATCTCTATAGATGTAGTCAAGTTAAGATGAGGTCCTACTGAAGTACCCTGAGCCCTGAATCCAATATGACAGATGTCCTTATTAGAACAGAAAGGACACAGACACAGGGACAAGGCCACCTGCAGACAAAGGCAGAGATTAGAGCCACGTGACTAGCGGCCAAGCAACTCCGCGTACCGCCGGCCACCAGCAGGGCCGGGACAGAGGCCGGGACCAGAATCTCCCTCATGACCTTAGAAGGAACCAACCTTGGCCACCAACTTGATGTCATACTCCTGGCCTCCTGAACTGTGAGAGAATAAAATTCTGTTGTTTTAAACCACCCAGTCTGTGCTAATTTGTTACTGCAGCCACAGGAAACTAATACGGATGTGTAAACTCCCATGAATGCATTTGTATTTTTATCATTTAATAAACGTCGATTCTACGTGAAAGTTCACCCAGAGAACCCCAGGTTACACAGTGGCCCCTACACAGGAGGACCAGCTCCTGTCTTCGCTTGGAGGGCAGGAACCAGGTCAAGCTTGTTCCAGCTGCTTCTCCAGCCCCTGTGTTTAGACATATTCTTGCAGTTAAGTCTTAGATTCTAAGTAAGAAGTAATAGTACATTGACCATAACAACAAAGAAACATACTTGAGTTATTTTAATTCTGTCTTTCATGGTGACCTTTTCGAGCTTTTATTTATGGTTAAAATTTAAAACAGTGGGACAGAGGGTGGACTGCAAGATGGAATATTTCTGTCTGGTAAATGCAAATCTCAGTTCATTAAATATTTTACTGAATTTGGAAACCATTTTTAAAAATAGAAAGGTACTATCTCAACTGCTATTTGTTTTAAAACTAAAAAACAAATCAAGGAAAGCATAATTATCACTGACTATGACACGGTCTTCACTTCCCCACTGTGGGGAGGAAGGCCCGTTGGCACCCTTTGTCACCCGCATTTTTGCACCAGTCAACAAGTATATGCTGGCACTCAGCTAGGTCTGGGGATACGGAGATTTACAAGAATAAATACACACAGTCTCTTTCTTCAAGCACCTTATAGTTTACGGGGGAGACCAACATACACGTGATTACACACAGCCATGGTTTCCAAACCTACTGTAGAGTGTTTGTGTGTCCCCCAAAACTTGTGAAACTTAACCCCAATGTGATGGTATAAGGAGATGGGGGACCCTTGGGGAAGGTGATGAGGTCATGAGGGTGAAGCCCTCCTGAATAAGATTAGTGTCTTTACAGAGAGCTCCCTCACCCCTTCCACCAGGAGAGGACACATGGTGAAGATGGCCATCTATGAACCAGGAAGGGGACCCCCCACCAGACACCAGATCTGCCGGCACACTGATCTTGGACCCTCAGCCTCTAGAACTGTGAGAAATAAATGTGTGTTGTTTATAAACAGCTAGTCTATGGTCTTTGTTACAGCAGCCTGGACAGACTAAGACAACACCAGAATTAACTATGAGTCTTTAAAAAAATTATAGGCACCCACTCTGGAAAACAGCTTTATAGGTTCTTATAAAGTTAAACATACCTTTATCATATGACCCAATGATCCTACTTCTGGGTATTTACCCTAGAGAAATAAAAATGTGTCTTCACACAAAATGCTGTACTTGAATGTTTACAGCAGCTCTATTTATAATTGCCCCAAACTGGAAACAATCAGAATGTCCCTCAATGGGTGAATGAATGAGCAAAACGTGGTATCTTGGGACAATGGAATACACCTCAGCAATAAAAAGGAACACATTTGTGACACACAACAACTTGGATGAATCTTAGAGGCATTGTGGAGAGTGAATGAAGCCAGTCTCGAAAGGTCGTATTATATTTGCACGATGTTATTGAAAAGACAGACCTATAATGGTGAAGAATAGATTCGTGGTTGCCAGGGGCAAGTGATGGGGTTGGATATGACTGTAAAGGGATAGCCCCGAGGGAGGCTTTGAGGATGATGGAGCCATTCTGTGTCCTGACAGTGGTGGTGGTCACGGGAATCCATACATGTGTCAAAACTGATAGAACTGCAAACCCCCCCCCCCAAATCACCATTGCTGTGTGGTTGAAAGGTCTTAGCGGTAGAGAACAAAAGCTTGAGAAGCAGGTGAAGACAGAGCTGTGAAGAGCTGCAAAGAGGTTGCAAATGAATTTTGAATGCGATGGGGAAACGAAAGATTTTTAATCACGAGAGAAGCATGATTAGATTTGGGTTTTAGTAGGGTCGTTCTGTTGACAGGATGGAAGACGGATTGGAGAGGGTTACATTGAAGGGGAAAAAATCAATTAGTATTCTATTGCGAGAGATCAATTAAGGGCAAGAGATAATGATTTCAGCTCTGGACATTCTGAGTTAGAGACATTTATGGACATTGAAGCAACGATATGTATAGGTGGTTGAATATATGAGTCTGAGGCTCAGAAAGAGGCCTGGGCTAACACTACCAGTTTGCTGGTTGAATTCATACGTACGGATGAAGTTGCTTTTCATGAATTGTATACAGGGTCGCAGGGGGGAAACAAGCAGTTTGGGAATGCAACTAGGGGGATCACAGTATCTGAAAAGAACAGAGAGAGAAAGGAAGCTGAGAATGTATGGCCAAAGAGAAAAGGAAAAGAACCAGGAGAAAATGACGTCCCAGAAGCAAAGGAGGAAAGAAGAGAGGATTCAACATGCTGTGTCTGGTTTATTATCACGTGATAGATGGATGAGCAACCCAGCCGTTCACAGAGCCAGGAAGTCATCTGTGTGTCCCCCCGTCCACAGCCTCATTTCACAGCTAAAGAAACTGAGTCCTAGGGATGCTACTTGGCTTGTTTGAGAATCATGGCTGATTCATGGTCAGGCTATCACTGGCAACCAAAACGCCTGGAGGTTGGAATGAATAGTTGGACTTTTCAACGTCTTCCATAAAATATATCTATAAATATATATTTTAGTCAACACATTTCCCCATCAGTTTTTGTTACGTCCACTTATGGGAGAAAAACCTCATCTATCCCAAGCCAAATAAGTCAGAGCCAGCATGAGTTGATTCCATTCTTCTGTTTTTTTATGTGAATAATCACCAGCCTACCTGGATATTTCATTTGCCTTCCGCTCCCCATTCCGTAGAACACAAACATCACTTTTGAACTACCCATAAAAGCCCCAAATTTGGCTCCTAGGTAGGTTTCTTAGATAATTATGATGGAAATTCCATTTTGCCCCAGCCTTGACTTTTCCATTTTCTTTCCCAAAATACTTGCCACTTGCTACCCCACCAGGGTATGGAGACACTCTGAAGTGTATGGGATTTCCTACAAACTGGGATAACCTACCCAGGCCTTCCAATAGCTTGAACGCTACCACATAGCTTTAAAAAAAAAGAAAACCTTATATGTGTTTCAAACCTTACAACTAATCTATTATATAACTGAAATTATTCTATCCAGAAAGGTTAAATGTCACACATTAGAGCCTCAGATTCTCAGCGCGCTCCGTTCTTCCCAGATAAATCTCAGTAAGTGAAAAAAAACATACATTGCCGACATGCCAAGTTTGCTCCCTGATTTATAGATTTCTTAAGAATTGGATTTTGCTTAGCAAGGTTGGAAGAAAGAAGAACATTGCATCCAAACACGTGGCGAAAGGATAACTAGTCTAGAACTGAAGTTATAGACATTTGGCGTAGTACGAAGCCACTCGATTCTTTCTTGGAAAAGGCAATAACGAGCATTCTTTCCCATGATGTCATGTCTTTTAGAAGCGAAGTTTCTCAACAGCCGCTGAAATAACGAAAAGCAAGTGGATGACAAAATCAAGGTGGACCAGAAAATGCAGGGTGAGGTATCCGATCCGACCCCAGGGCTTGAGATGCAGTGCCGTTCTGTCAGGCACATCCAGCCCACCACTAAGTATGGGGGTTCTTTTGGTATGGCAGAGAAATACTGTTTCCTCTTTTAATTTGCTTGTATTTGGGGGTTTTTGTTTTCTTTTTTTAAATTGAAGTATAGTTGATTTACAGTGTTTCAGGCGTATAGCAAAGTGTTTCCGTTATTTATATACATATATATATATATATATTCTTTCTCAGATTCTTTTTCTGTTATTAGTCCTTACAAGATATTGAATATAGTTCCCTGTGCCATACAGTAGGTCCTTGTTGTATATCTATTTTATATACAGTAGTGGGCATCTGTTTTCATCTTTTAAACAGCTACTAAGTTGTTAGGACATAAATAGTTAATAAGTTGCTTGAACCTAACTACTTATACAAAGAGCAGTTAGGACCCACTTTTGGCTTAGGAGTTGCTATGAAAAATCACTGAGACACGAAGGGGCCAAGAACCGAGGAAGCAGGGAAATCTCTATGCTCTGTTATCAATGCCCTGGTTTGGCACTTGGCCCGGGAAGGGGAGGGCCCCAGCATGCCCACTTGTTTTTCCTACTGTTGGTGCCTCACCCACTTCTATGGGGCCTGAAATTCGCCAGTCACAGAAAATGCCTGCTCAGGAAACAGATGTGCAGAGGCTGCAGAGGAAACCCACAATCACCGCCCATGTGAACCAGCCCAGGCCTCCATTCATAAAAACTCAGCAAACCGAGGGCCACGAGACAGAGGAAAACACCAGCACGGAAGATAATTATGAACAAGTAAAACAGCTCCGTGGAGAGAAAACAGAAATAATCATAATAATGAAAGAAATCCAAGGGGCTTCCCTGGTGGCGCAGTGGTTGAGAGTCCGCCTGCCGATGCAGGGGACACGGGTTCGTGTCCCGGTCCGGGAGGATCCCACGTGCAACAGAGCGGCTGGGCCCGTGAGCCATGGCCGCTGAGCCTGCGCGTCCGGAGCCTGTGCTCCGCAACGGGAGAGGCCACAACAGTTGAGAGGCCTGCGTGCCGCAAAAAAAAAAAAAAAAGAAAAGAACCCCATTTGATCTTGAAAGGTTAGAGAGGGAGTTACACCCATAAAATCAGAATTGGCCAATTAGGAGCAGGAAGGGGGAGGGGCAAAAGAAAACGAGAAGAAGAGAACAGCACCCACAGAAAAGGAAGAGACCCTGGAACTAAAAGTAGGATCGTAGGATCAGCAAAATAAAAATGGATGGAAACACCAAGCTGGTTATCTAGACCAGAGCCCTTCTCCACTGTGCAGACCAGTCAGCAGATACTGTCAAAGCAATCTCCCAGATCCAGAAGCAAAAATAAACAGACAAGTGAATAAATGAAAACTTAACAGTCTTGCGAGATATATCCAGGAGGGTCAAACTAATAGAGACTTAGAGACAGAAAGGTGAGAAAGAAATAATAAGAGAAATAATTGAAGCATCATTTCCAGGGCTGAAGTTTCTTAGATAATGGTCCACCAAGGCCAGAACAGGATGAAGAAGAAATACATCCACATTCTGATCAAATAGAAGAACACCAAAAATAAAAGGACCATTCTAAAAGCTCCCACAACAAAAAATAGAAGAGGGCCATGTGGTATGAATGAACCATTGGCAGCTATGGGAAGCTAAGAAAATTCACAAGGAAGTTTAAAGGAATCCAGGAGCCCTTGGCCTCGGCTCACTCTTCTTCACGTGGTTGGACTGAGTGACGTGAATTACATCGCCTTTGCGACAGGTTCCACCACCTTGTTCTGAAGAGGTTAAAATTGAGTAATTATAATACTATGTACTGCCATGGAGGGACGTGTACTCTGTGAAAGAAACAAGTTGCAGAACAAATGGACCATCTTATCCTATTGAAGCTAAATACACACACATGCACATATAAACTGGACAGATAGAGATGATGATGAAGATAGATAGATAAATAGATAGATAGATAGATAGATAGATAAATAGATAGATAGATAGATGATAGGTAGATAGATGATAGATAGGTAGATAGAGATAAACATTTAAAAGGACAGAGTACACAGGTGGAATTTGGGAGAATACACTGGCTTTTTATCTTCAACATTTGATACTTTCTTTCTCTCCTTTTTTTTTTTTTAAGAAGGAGTACAGATTACTTTTGAAATTTTTTGTTTAAAATGGGGGCTGCAGGAGCATGGCCTGCTCAAGAAGTGAGGAAAATCCGTGTGGCTGGTGAATGCCAAGAGTGGAGAGCCAAGCAGGACGATGCCAGAGCTTTGGGCAGAGAAGGATCAGGTCCATGGGGCCAAAGAGGGAAGCCAGGAGTGGACAGAGTAGGGAAAGGATGACTTAGCTCTGGCCCGGAACACAGAAATGACACATCTGACCCTCGGCAGGGTTTGTTCTATGACCTAAGTGGATTCACCCATCGTGCACAGACAGAAGTCAAGAACCGTGAAGCCTGGATCGATTGTTTGGGGATCGACTCCCTGCCCTAAACCTTATTTCTCTACACGGCGCCACTCCTAGTGGGGAGTTAAATTCCCGGATATGCTCAGAGCCAAAGCAAGCAAAATGAGGGTCACTGGCCACACAATTCTTCTTGCCCTCCATGACTGTCCCACCAGCAATGGCACCAGCTACCCCTGGGTCTGAAATGCAGTTGAAAAACTGCCCCCAAACACGGTGGAAAACTCTAGATTATCTTGGGAGAACAGAGCATTTGATTGAATCCCCAATCCCACCCATTCCTGGTCTTCCGTATTGGGGATGCCCCTCAAATAGGTGGACATGTGGGAGTGAGCTAGAGTCACACAGGCGACCACAGCCCCGAGGTTTCAGGATGGCCTGGTTTTGCCATATCCCTGAAGAAATTATGAGTGGGGAAGGAAACGGGACTAATTCTTATTTACCCTTAACCGCAGACTGTGAGTTATAGGGACAGATCATGGCATGTGATTTATTTTCCCACTCTTTTGTGTTTGTGTTTCTCATGCTCAGAGGCGTTTATCACACTAAAGACTCCCATAGACGTAACCCCACATCTGCAGCGGGCAGGTCCCCAGACTCTCCAAAGGGCTGCACAGCTGAACCTCGTGCTCTGAGCAAAGACCTTAGCCGGTTCCTGGGGATTTCCTTACCCTCCAAGATCTTACCTTGGCATGTTGTCCAGGATATCACTAGCGAAGAAGTATCAATGTGGGTCAAAGGCTCTTTTCTGAAATGTAACCAAAGCACCAGCAGAAGAAACCATGATAAAAAAAAAAAGCATTGATAAGTACAACTCAAGTCCTATTGTTGCCTTTGTTTAAAAAAAAAACACAAAACCACAGACATTTTTTGTATATAAATTTTTATTTCAAAGCATCTGATCCCCAGAATGTATTCCACAATAAGTGATTTTCTTAAACAAATCAGGACAGTCATCAGTAGGATATTAGTTCTGGGACGAAGTTTTCCACAAGGTTCCCCCCGTACGTACTGTGGATGGTATTTTAACCATCTGTCCTTGGAAAAGCATGAACACAAAATCAAGTCGTGTACTGAACCTTGGATGTTATTCTATAAACAAAATGAGTTTTAAGCCTCAGAAAACACTTCAGAACAAAGAACATGTTTTTAATGCCCATGAGAAAAAAACAAATATGATAAAGATGATGGGTGTAAAGGATGACTGTTTAAAGCCGAGGTAGACGTTCTCCCATCGAAATCTCCACCGAGTCTGTTGTTGTGAGTCCCCAGGTCCTGGGGGAGGACACTTTGTTTTTTTTCCGCTTTCTGACATTATCTGTTGCAACCTGATGCAAAGCAGCACGCAACTTGTCACAGGAGGAAATAACTCTGCGGCCGGCATGGAACGTCTCAGGGAGCCCGGGGGCTGGGAGGCCAGCAGTTGAGGGTGGGGCAGACTGCCTCTCGGGGGAGCTCACAAAAACAGTGCTGCGGTTCCAAAGAGAAAGCAGGATCCTGTCATTAAAGAAAAGGGTGGGAGTCCTTGCAGGCGGGAGTCATGATACAAAACTTCGGATAAAATGTCAAGGCTTATTTCAGAATGGCTGTGCGAATGCTCCGTGCTTCATGGGAAGAGGGCTTGGAGCAGAGCATCCATAGATACAAGATCCCCTAAGAACGGAGATAACAGGAGCGATGCTGGTGGTCCTTTGTGCCCCTTCTTAGCCTGGGGGCCTCGGGGGCAGGACCGGGAGCGTCTTCTTCCTTTGCTTGGTTCCCAAGGAGCAAAGGCCAGCCTGGTGAATGTCACAGCAGGTGAGCGCTGGCCAGGCCAGAGAAGAGAATGAAAGCTCCCTGAAATGTGCCCTGCATCGCTGGGGCCCTCGGGATGGCTCCGTGAAAACAGCATGTGAGCCTCCTGCAGCCTACAGGGCCCAAGCAGGGAGACTTGCTCTCCAGGCCTTACATAGATATTATGTAGCACGTAGCACGCTGCTTCTCACAGAACATGCACTCAAGTAATATGTATGAGCACGCGAATGAGAAGTAGCTATTAAAATGGTTTATTTTATCTGTGGATAAATGGATGAACTAAATAAAGGACAAAACACAGACCAGCAAGATACTTCATGACGTTACTATCTTATTATAAAATTCATTTGTGCAATAATAAAAACAAGCACATGTGCCAGGACTGATGTAACAGCTTCGTGGATTTTGAAGCACATCAATCTTCACGCCATCCCCATTTCACAGAGGAGGAGGCTGAAGCCCCAGAGTTCAGGCAACACGCCGAGAACAGAGCAGCAATGACAGGCAGGCGGGATTCGAACCCGGGGATTCGGAACCAGTCACAGCTCTAGACCACTCTGAGGGGCAGCAGGCAGCAAAGTCACAATTTCAAGAATCCCTGTCTTTTCCTGGTTGTCATATTTGCTTCATCTTGTTCGTTATGTATACTCCAGATGTCTTTCAAGCTTTCAGGTTACGTGGTTAACAGCTTGGCCAACAAGAACCAGACCGTGGCCTGTTTATTGCTCTCTACGCAGCTTTACAAAGATGGGTGTTAAACCTAATTTCCTCATTGCTAACTGTGAGAGAATACTCACTGTTTAAGGCTCAGACAAAACAGGATGCATGAAACAGTTTCAAATGCCTTTCAGGGGTTCTGAACCCAGGGATTACCATCATTGGAGGGTTTTAAGATTTTATTTCAGTTGAAAGCAGAATTAAAAGAAAATAATTTTTAAAAAATTTTTTGAGAAATTTTTCTCCACTGAGATTGTGAAAACATCATTAAACAAATTTTATATACCTACTAAGGACACCCAGGTGTTTCCAAATATCTAAGCATTTGGAATTGTATGTAATTAAGAATTATCAAAGAATACCTTTGCTGTGATTCATAAAATCTTTAGCAATTAAGTAATTTTTAAAAATTATTAGCTCTTGAAAAAGACCTGAAAATATAACTGTTTCATAAATTGAAAATGGAATCCTGTTAATTGAAGATCTTCTCCGTAAATCACACCTGGGGAGCCATGGAGGAATTAAAGCTTTTCTGTAATCTTCCCCAAATGCACACTCAGGTAAAATAATATTACAAGACAGGAAAAGAGATGAACTTTGATCCACCATCAATCATTTACTGATCGTGCACCTGGGACCAAGCATTGTGTTGGTTAAGCTTGGGATTCAGAGACCAGTGGGGCAAACTTCCTGCCCACAAACTTACTTCCTGTTCACAAGCTACTTCCTGCCCACAGCTACTTCCAGTGGGGCAAACTTCCTGTCCACAAACTTACTTCCTGTTCACAAGCTACTTCCTGTCCACAAACTTACTTCCTGTCTACAAACTTAAATCCTATCTACAACTACTTCCTGTACACAAACTTACTTCCTATCCATCAGCTTCCGGGTGGGAAAGGGAGGTGAGAAGGATCAAAGCAGTGGTTGCCATGGGAACCAGGCCAGGGAATCTCTGGGAGAGAGGACACCTGAAGATGGGCATCTGCACTGAATAGGAAGGGGCTGCAGTTCCTGGGAAAGCATGAGAATTGGGGTCGGGGGGCGTCTACAGAGGAAATGAGAATTGTGCTTGCTCTTGGAGAACAGGTGGAAATTGGATGCTCAGAGGGAAGCAGTGAGGGCCCAGGAAGCAGAGGGGACTCCTTGGTGATCCAGTGTCAGGGTGACAATAATAATAGAAATCATCGTAACTGGAGAGAATGACTTCAGTAAGGGAGAAGGAAAAATGTAAGTTAGAAAGGCAGATTGGGGTCAGAATGTGGCCATTCTCAAATGTTAGACTGAAAGCATTATCCTGTAGGTAACAGTGGATACTTTGGGAAACAATATTAACATAAAATAAATCACTAAAAACGTACTATCAGAGCTGGAAATGGCTTTAGAGAATATCCAGCCGCCACTCCCTCTCCTCTAGATTGAAGCCCCTTGTGTCTAGAAGGCTGATTTATTTTCCCTGTATCCCCACAGTGCCTGGCAGAAAGTAATCACTCAATACAAATTTAATTTTAAAATGAAAGAATAGGAAAGTGTAGCCCACAGCAATTGATTTAGTGACTTGCCTAAGGTCACCCTGCAGGGAGCAGACCCTAGGTTCTCTGTTCATCCAGGACCAGGACCCATTTTGGCCTCATTCGGTCTTAAACATAAGCTAGATATTTTATCCACACAAAGACAGCTATCTAGATATATGCACTTCCAGATAGTTGACTGTATTTTTCCAGTTGACACATGGACATCTGATGTCTTTCAAATATACACATTAAGTCATTAAGTTTAACATTAAAATATAGGTGTAAAATTTTCTGGAGTCAACCTTACCATACTAATATTACAAGGGTTCACAAGCTATATGATATATTAAAATACATTTAAGAAGAAGAACTGGGCTTCCCTGGTGGCGCAGTGGTTGAGAGTCCGTCTGCCGATGCAGGGGACATGGGTTCGTGCCCCGGTCCGGGAAGATGCCACATGCCGCAGAGCGGCTGGGCCCGTGAGCCATGGCCACTGAGCCTGCGCGTCCGGAGCCTGTGCTCCGCAATGGGAGAGGCCACAACAATGAGAGGCCCACGTACCGCAAAAAAAAAAAAAAAAAAAAAAAGAGGAAGAACTAAGAAAGCCCTAATCCTACAAATCTCTTTCTCTCTCCTTCTCTCTCTCTCTCTCACACACACAGAGGAACACACACACACAATAACTGCTCACTAAGATTATTAATTCATTAATTCTCCCCTCTTTCAAGCACTTCATTTTTCTACTGTAACCCTGGGTGGAGGGAAATAAGTGAAGCAAGATTGGTCGTGAGTTTATAACTGCTGAAACTAGGTGATACATATATGGCTACTCCTTATACCTTGCTCTCTACTTCTGCCCATTAAAAACAATTTCTCATTAGAAAATGTTTTTTAAATAAGTGTGAAAAAGTAATATCCATTAACAAATAAATATTTCATGCCAAATTGGCTTATTGAGCAACATTCTGAAGGAAACAATGAAAACGGAAAACTGGGTGAACAGGGTATCATTAGAATGATTTCCTAGCAGGTGGCTGCAGGGGTCCAGATGCAGAGTGTAGGTAATTTGGGAAGTTATCACCCTAGAAGAGGAAACAGAGCTGTAGGACTTTCTATCCTATTGTACAACTGCCTGCTGAACAGAGAGCTGCCACGTTGTTTCAGAGACAAAGCCATGTTTTAACCCCAAACTTAAAAACAGCGTTGTTATTCAGAAGAGATTAAAAGGATTTCTAGCAATGTGAGTATTTGAAAACTCAATGACTAGGAAGCATTCACCAGATTTTATAAATCGAGACTTCTGATTTTGTTTTTGCTTTTATACCAAAATAGACCTTTCCACGTGGGCACAGCTCCCCGCAACCCATAAGCAGGAGCAGGTTGGGAAAGCCAGCTGCCATGAACCCCATGAACCCCTTCACTACTAGTGCAGTCCATAAAGTTGACCATCTGTGCCTGAAGGTCTGTAGTGCCTATGTGTGTGAATGTTAAACATACAGGACTAAGCCCCTTTAGAAGGTATATTCTCATCTTATTGGCTATAATCCTTGACCAATCCAAACCAAAAGTAGACAGTTGTAACCCTAAGGACTAAAAGAATCTAAAACTGAACTTACCTCCCTAAATTGTGAGCACGATTGTCTGTCTTCATTTTATCATTTGCTATTTTTGAAGGAGAAAAATGGAGAAAGATTGAAATGTGATAAGAGAAACCGTCAGAACCTAA